CCCTCCGTCTGTACTAGCCAAGCTCCTCCTCCCTCAGTCACCAGAGGGGAACTGCCTTCCTGGCCTCCTGCCTGGGCTTAAGAAGGGCTAAGCCCTGCCCCTTCCTGTCAGCTGGTTTCACTGGTTGCCCTAGCAACCAGCACCTGCGCTGCCCTGGTGACTGGCAGCTGAGCCTCCCCCTTCTCGCCACTAGGGGTCTCTCCCGAGCAGTTTCTGCTTTCAGGCGGAGGGCACCTAAGTGCTCTGTGACAAGGCGCTACTTCACTGTCAGGGCGGCTAGGATCCGGAACCAATTTCCAAGTGAAGTGGTGCTGGCTCCTACCCTGGGGGTCTTTAAGAGGAGGCTAGATGTACACCTTGCTGGGGTCATTTGACCCCAGTACTCTTTCCTGCCATGGCAGGGGGTTGGACTCAATGATCTAGTCAGGTCCCTTCCGACCCTACAAACCATGAAACTATGAAACTATGAAGCCTGGTGGTTTAGTGCACATTCTTCAGGAGAGAGGCAATCTCCTGGAGGTTGGACCAGTCCTGCCCTAGGAAGGTAACAGCTCCTACATAGCCAGCAAGGACAGTCCCCTGGTTGCACCCTCTCCTGGAGAGAAGAGTATCGTGTATCCAAGGAGAGGACAGAAATCTCCAGTTTGCCTCTCAGTATTGAAGATAAGGGCTTCTGTGCCTCTGCTTGTAAAGAGCAGTCTCATCATGCTGCTGTCTGGTGACATTGATGTTACGGCTCTTGTTTAGCTTGATTATTGTAATTAGTGTATTATATTAACCTGTGTCCTCCTGTTGCTCCCTATTGTGTTAACTTAATATTTTGTTGCTCCTGTTTGTCCCTCAACCACATATGAGTCCCGTGTTGTTGTTGTATTAATAAAATCTTTACTGTTTCACCTTTGAATTGTGGAATCTGATATACTAAGAAACCAAGGCAGGCACCTTACCCAGCACGGCTGTGGGGATGCCATAATGCTGGTCACCTATAACCCATTTTGTCCACCATCAAATTACAGGTGCGATCTAAAATCATAACAGATTAGCAAATGTGGGTTTGGGCTGCTCCCGCTAAAAAACCCGCCATTAACAGATGCATAAAAATGGAGACCACTTCAGTGCAAAGCTGCTGCTTAGAAGCTCGGTCTACATCACTTGGTCCAGGTTATTGGCAGAAGAAGCAAGAAGCAAGACTTGAAGTGCAGAGTGTGGACTGCTTTGGCAAACTGCATGAAGGAGACTATTCCATGCATGAGAACGACCGCCTTTGCCTGTTTACATGCACCTACTGAGAAACCTCCCCCATTTTTAAACTTTTTTCTGGGAAGAGCTCTGCAGCCTGCTGGGTTTGTTACTGGAAAAAGTCAATTATTGCACCAGCCACCCATGACAGGACTCAGCTAGGCTGGACAGGAATCAGCCTCCACATCCTGGGGAAATTTTCAACATCTCAACATTTTCTGTATTGTCATGAAGTGGCTCATCTGGAGGCTTTTATGGAAAAAAAGAGAGGCTAACCCTAGAATGACTAGTGGCCCTGTGGTTAGGGAACTGTTCAATTTAGGCCAGGGACTTAGACCTCAGTGTCCTATGTCCCAGGTAAGTGCCCCAAGCAGAGACCTATTGGCTATCCTTGGGTGGAGTCCTCTCCAGAAAGTCCACCCAGGAGCTGGGAAACCTTTCCTGACAAAAACTGGTACATCCCTGCTAAATCTTTTGGTTTTTGTGTCTGATGTTTTTCAACCAGCTCCAATGGGGAGAAGTCATTTCTCCAGTCCATTAGGCTTATGGAGAGGTCATGGCTGGTAAGGACCCCAGTGCTGGGCACCATAAAACAGTGGCATAACTAGGTCAGGGTGACAGGGGCAGCTGTCCTGGGTGTTAACTTGGCGGGAGGCTGGGGGTGGGGAATAAAACAGCTGCTGCCACAGCTGTGCAATTGTGACTGATGATGCAGTGGCAACCAGAAGCTGCCCTGTGCATGGCAGCTGCCCCAGGTGCCCGCCCGTGTCATTACACCTGTAGCTCTAAAGACACAGAACAAAAAACCAGTGCTTGTCCCAAAGAGGTTACAATCTGAGTATCAGACTAGAGACAACAGAGCAATACGGAGAGATGGGGAAGCTAGAGGGAACAGTGAGAAAACAGTGGTTTGCTCAACAGGCAGCCGTCTCAGCATGCCAGCAGCTCAGTGGTCACCAGGAGTTTGTCAGCACCATCAAAAAAAGTCAGTTGGGGAGCAGGAGTGAGGGGAGCAGGGTGCACGTGTGCCACCCACACGTGTGCCTGCTTACCTCAGCGGAGGCGGCAGCAGCAGCAGCAGCAGCGGAGGAGACCAGCGGCGGGGGCAGCAACAGCTGATTCCCCCTAAGGTAAGTGGGGTAGAGAGCGCAGCACAGCTGAGGCGGATCCGGAGGGGAAGCCCTTCGGCGACGCCTTAGCTCACCGGACAGGGAGCCGTGCTCCCGAGCCGCGCGTGGGCAGCGCGCGTGAACAGTGCGCGCAAACAGGCGCGCTCTATAAGGGCGTGCCGGCGTTTGCGCCGGCGTTTGCATAAGGCGGGCGCGAGGTAGCTGCACAGGGCGGCTCCTCCAGGCAGTAAGGCGGCGGGCGCACCTCTGCAGGCATGGTGATGCAG